GTGTGAGGAGTGTGCTGCACGAGGGGGTGGGGATTGTTCCCGGAGGCGCATCAACATCCTGTTGAGGGAGCCAGGGCATCGGTCGGACAGGTTTCTCAAGTGCCCTCCCTCCCCAAGCCCTGACGCAAGCGATTGGCTTGCCCGGGTCGACTTAAACCCCGCCCCAGAAGGACCCCAGACCAGCGTTCACCGACCTCCAGGGGCTGGTGGGCGAAGCGCAGGGCAAAGCCGTCCACGGCCAGTTCGACGTGCACGGGGAAGGGAGCGGGGCCGGCATTTGGTGCAGCGGCTTCCTCTCCAGAACCCTGGCGGCGTCGGGCGTGCCCCTCTCGCCCCGCCCTCCAGGCCCCCCGCCCTCGGGTGCCGCGGAGCGTCGCCCGCGCCCGCCCGAGGCGCTCGAGCGGCACGCTGAGCACGCTGCGCAGGGCCGCGGCGTGCAGCTCCGCGTAGCGCAGCGACGGCCCCGGCTCGACGTCGTGCGGCAGGTCCAGCGCGAGCGAGGTGACGGCGAGCGCGACGCGCGTCGCGGGGGGGCCTGGGCGCCCGGCTGGCCACGCCGCGGGTCGGCGGCCGAGGGGCTCCTGCCCGTGAAGCGCGCCCCGGCCCCATCAGAACGGAAGAGCCCTGCGCCCTCCTCGTGCCCACGCGGAATGGCCCAGTCGCCCGACTTCGTGCGCGGGACGGGGGCAGCGCCAGGGCCCTCGTCCGCAAACAGCCCCGGCTGGCTGCAGCTGCGCCCCACGCCCGCATCGCGCGGCGGCCTCAGCGCCGCGACGGCCTGCGTGGGCAGCGCCGGGGCAGGCGCGCCGCGCTCGACGCCGACCGCCGCCGCCGCCCAGCTCAGCACGGGCTTGCCCTGGACCGCGAGGCGCGCGGCCTGCGTGGCCAGGCGCAGGGGCCCCCCGCCCGCGCCGCCGGCCTCGGCCGCCACCGCCCAGAGCGTGAAGTGGCGGCCCGGGGCCAGCTCCAGGCCCAGGTCCAGCACCGACAGCGAGCAGCGCCAGGCGGCGGCGGCGGGGTCGGGGTGCGAGGGTGGCAAGGCCGGGCGCGCCGGGCCCCGTCCGGCGGCCGCCACGTCCTCCGCCTCCTCGGTGCC